CTATTACCAAAGTCTTCAACCTCTTCATTCTAGGGGGATATACACAGTCCCTCCTTTACTGTTGAGCAGAGAGGCTGCTTGGAAAATGTTGCTATTATGTGCGTCCTTTGCTGCAGAGTTTTCTCCTGGTGAATCATAAGCAGGATACTTATGTTTCTTTTTTCCCTTTGGCTCCCAAGAAGCTTAGACTCAGATATATGGTTTCAGTGTAGCAACATATAGCCTGTTTCAGGGAGGAATGAGCAGATGGATGGACGGATGAGTGGAGGGAGGGAGGGACGGGTATGCTATACCTTAGGGTTTCAGAGAGGATTCCCACGTGAGATTGGAATATACCCAGATGACTTGCAAGGGTCCCAACTACGGGACTCTGTTTGTCCATACACTTCACTGTACTTTCCCAATATCCACGCATCATCCCCGTCATACCCTCTGCAAGACACGCCTTTTCCCCCTCACGTCCCTATCTTCCTGGTGAACGCGTCCTCATCTTCTGCGGAGCAGCACAGTTTCCCTAATCCCCTCCTCTCCCCAGCAGGTCAGCTGCTCCTTCTCCCGGGCTCCTCTCACTGCCCACATTACGCCATCCTGCAGTCTGGTTTCATAATCCATTTCTCTCACTGAACAAGGAGTACCTTAAAAGCAAAGACCAGGCCCAAGACCTCCCTCTGGACCTAGGGCCTGACATCCAGCTCAATCTTTGCTCGGGGGCTAAATAGACTTCTGAGCTCAACCAGTTTTAACTTCTATAGAGCATCCTAGATGGTCTGTAACCAGAAAATTATATAAAAATCGTTTTGAAGGTTATGCAATGCAGGCAGCTGGTAGCTCAGACTTTACCTGCACACGAGGTCAGAGTCTTTTTGTCCCTGGCTTGAAAGTTACGTAAGCTTCATTATATATTTTATGACCTTAACATGTTTTAAAGTTCTATTCATCTAGTTTTCTCTCCAAGGCAGAAGGGAATTTCTAACTTTAATGGCTGAACTTCAGCTCAAGAGCAAGGTGTTTAGCAGCCTGTTCTGATGCCCCAACTGGGATTGGGACTGCTTGGAAAATGTGCAGACCCTGAGTCTTGCAAGGTGGCTGAGGGCTTGTCGCAACCAGCTCGAAAACCCAGTCTCACCCTGATTTGTGTAATCCGGATGGCGAACATTTCTGACACTAACATGCCCACGGAATACTGTTACTCTGTGTGCCCAAGACACTCTGGTCAGGGTCCAACGATTCAAAGGCAACAATGGGTCCTTCCAGATCACCTTAACTCTCCATTTTATAGGTAGGGAAACTGAGATCCAGAAAAAAGAAAGGACTGACCCAAGGTCACAGAGCTACTGATGAGACAATAGTGAGAATGGAGTTGAGCCTTTCCTTTGCACCACTGGTAACCCACAAATTTGGCCTTCTTAGAAGGGTTGAGGGAGAGGACGGGCTGCAAGAAAGCAACTGAGCCTTTCAATTCTGCCAGTTGCCCTGTTTTCTGAGTGGAGAACACACAAAGGCTCAGATACCTGTGTTTTACAGCCAGCTGGGGAAAAGACTTGGAGCCCAGGCCTATGGAAAAAAAGAGAGTTCCTCCATGGAAATTCTTGTTCCTTAAGCCCCTAGAGATCAGGGCAGGTCTTCTCCTGAATGGCTGCCTACTCCCTGCTTGGTGCTGGGATTCAAATCCCACTTCTTTTCCTCCAGTGCTTAGGCACGGCCTTGGGGGAATGGTGACCTGTTTGGGGTGAAAACAGGACACAGAAGAACACGCTGCCTTATTTCTCCTATCATCTCTGTGGGCAGAACCCACAAAGCATCTTAGCAAGCATGGCTTGGCGTGTCTTCATTTTTTGCAGTGTCCTTGCCAAGATTCTTGGGCTGCCTAGGTTGGGACCTAGGTTCGTGGGTGCAGAAATGGACTTGAGTGGAATGTTCTCTGTGTATCTAAGAGCAGGAAATGTAGGAAGAGCAGTCAAGAAGGACCCAGTGGGTGTTTGATCCCTTTGCACTCGGGGGTGGGCTCTGACTCTCACTCACAAGGAGGAAACCAAAGGTAACCTTGTGCCTAACTGGCTGAAAGCCAGCAGAATGCCTTCTTCCATCTCCATCCTGACTGCTCCAGGCCCAGCACTGGGAAAAGCCAAGTTAAAGGCTAGTTCCTTCTGAACGGCCTTGTTTCCTCTTCTGGATCTGGGTGATTATCCCTAAGAACATTTCCTCAAGTCTGTTAACATCTAGCCCGTGGCAGGGGAAGTGAGTCCTCCTACGTGATTTTGCTAAGAGTCACAGAGGGTCAGAGATGCTATCCAGTCCAACAACCTCACTTCACTGATGGGAGACCTGGGGGACCTGACCAAGGCCACAGAGCCATCTGGGTGCTTACAGAAGGGCTTCTGTCTCACTCTGGCCCCCGGGTGCCTCACCCAGTGGCTCTCACTGGGTATGCAGAAAATGTGAGCGGAATTAAACTAGACCCGAGTCTTGTCATTCCCAGACAAGTACCTTTTCTTCTAAAGCACTTGTTCTCCAACGGGGCCATCTACAAGACTCACCTGGATCACTTTCAAAAATACCAATGTCTGGATCCCACCTCCACCGATTCTGGCAGAGATTGGTTTGGGCGGGGCCTGGGCACTGGAACTTTCAAACCCTCCCAGGTGACTCCAGTGTGCACCCAGGACCGAGAACCACGGATCTAAATCATGCTGCTTTACGAGAGTAAAGAAAGAGAACTGCTGCTCTCTTGGGCCATGGTTCCCAGTCTTCCCAGATACGGGCGCCAGGGCTGTGGGTCAAGAGGAAAATGGAGAAGACCTTCAATTCGCCCTTGGAAACGAGCTGTCCATCCCCCACCCTTGAAAGACACAGAAAAGGACAAGGTTTAGAGATCAAGTTAAATGTCCAATTTATTTTTATAACTTGAAACCAGAACAAACTTGGTTTTGAACAAGCGTACAAATGAAATGGCAGACACATGCTGAACTCAACATTGTGACATTAAGGGAAAAAAGAGGCCCAAAATCTTGTACAGAGAATAAAAGGAACAATAAATATTTTACTAAGCCATATTGAAATGACCTCCTGTCATCTCAACATTTTATCCATAATAAAAAAAAAAGTGCCCGTTTCTTAAACAGAGCACAAATACCAAGCAATAATAAATAGTTCCAAACTTGTAGTAAAAGACAGAACCTCCAAGTAAACAACAAAAGCTCATACAATAAGTAATAGAAAAGGTAATAAAAATATTTCGCCTTGCCAGTACAAATGCAAACAACTTAAATCAATGTAACTTTGCTTTGCAGGGTTGAGTTACAAAAAGCACCAAAATCACGGGTTTGCCTGTGCGCAACAAAACCTTCGCTACGGACCGGGATGAAAGGCTGACTTCCTTAACTTTTCACATTTTGCTTAGAGTGGTTCAGCCTCCTCCCCTCCCCATGAAAGACCCTCTAATGGCAAGTGGCAGGTTCCAATTTGGGGCAACTTTGAACAAAGTTGTGGCAGTATGGAAACCAGCCTGAGGTCGGCTGGGTCACCCAGGCTCGGGGCCTCTCTCACTGGGTCATCTGCTCCAGTGTTGGCTTTTTAAACATGAAAGAGAAGCATAATGCTCTTTTCTCTGCAGTCGACAGAGACACAATCTTTGTGCTTTAGGATGGCTTAGTCCTGGCATTCTGGTGACTTTGTGGAAGCTGGTGAGGGCTGGCTAGCTTTCGCAACTACAAGAGGATCACCTTGGAGGCTCAAGTACCCTGACAGGGCATCCGAAGGAAAGGGCAGCCCCTGGGTCTTCAGGTCGGGCAGGTAGGAAACTGACATCTGCTCCCTTTGCAAAGGTCAGTGGCAAGGAGGGAAGGGTGTACTGAACAGAAAAGCTCCCAGAAGAAAGACTTCTGCATTTGGTAAAGAATTGCCCCCAAAGATGCTTGGTTATACTTTCGTAACCTGAAATAATGGTTTTACAGTTCCTGAAATAAAAAATGGCTTCCTGATATAGGTATTTTTTTTTTAATGTATTATTCCCTCATCCAAAAAACCACCACTTCATTATCTTAAAGCTACTTGGCTTTACAAAAAAAAAAAAAAAAAAAGAAAGAAAGAAAAAGAAAGGAAAAAAGAAAGCAAGAACAGGGGGCTACAGAGAGGGAGAAAGAAATGAAATTGGGTCAAAATGAAAAGGACAAAATAAAAGACTGACAGAGGCTGGGGGATGGAGAGGAAACACAGAGGAAGGAGAGAGAGATATGGAAAGGCACCGAATTCATTTCATCCCAGGCCCTCGGCACTCGGAAACTGACGGAATGTAGGTTTCAGCGAGAGAAGCAGCAGAGCAGGTAACAAAGACAACAGGCCAACACTCTCCATGGAATGAAAGGCCCTGGTTGTGACGGGGACTCCTTCCTGACATCCAGTTTGCGCTGGTCTCAACAGCAGCTCACGTCACCTGTGCCTAGCTGATTCACCAGCTCCTTTTACTACATCTTTTGTTTGTCTGTTTCATGTTTTCTCAAGGACTAAAGAAAGCTCCGTTTGCATTCCTTTCTGCTCCTAAGGGCGGGAGACGTGGTGACCCGCCACAGTGGTGACAGTAGAGAAGGAAGATGCTCTCTCGCTCTCTCCTCTAACACCTGACATCTTACAGATGGCCTCTTAGAGAACCAGAGGACTCTGTGAAATATACCGACATCTTTACAAAAACTGATTTCTCCACTCAACACGAATAAAGAATTTCCCATCCGGTCTGCTGTGGCCACACCAGGGAGCCTTGATGCAAGGTTCGGGGCATTCCGAGAGAAGCCCTGCTCGAACAGTCCTTTGTATAGGCCAATTCTGACAAAAATATATACAACTAAAATGATTTGTGAACCAAAGCATTTAACGACTTCCTTTTGTTTCTTTTCCTCAAAGGTTGTCAAACAACCCTTTTTCTCCTGTACAATAGGACTAAACATACAAATTTTTTTTGCAATATTTTATCCTGCCAAATTAAAAAAATATATTATGGCAGCCTGTTTGTTTTTGTTTTTTTTTTCTTTTTATTTCCAAATTCACTAACAAAAAGGTACATTAAATCCCTTTAAAAGGACAAGCTTACAGTTAAAAAATTACAAGCTCCAGTAAAAATACAGCAAGTGCCTACATCATATGAACCAACCAATATATCCATTCCAGAGGGGGCAGGGAGAGAAAAATAAGTAAAGGTCAGAAATGTGAATTTTTTTTTTCTGCAAAGCAATAACAATATTAAGCACTTTTTTTTCTACATACTTTTTCTACATGGTGTAGCAATCCCCTTTTAATCCCCAAATACAAGTTTCTATACATTTTTTTTTGAAATAAAAATTCAACACCCAAGGCAGAAAAGAATTTACTAAAACTCCGACTTTACAGTTACTGTGACAAGAACAAATTTATAGACCCACCATTTAAATTTTACTGCAACATTTTCAAGGAAAAGAAAAGGGATTTTTTTTTTCTTGTTTTGTAAAATGCCCAGGCATTCTCGATTATTACAAATACTGGTCCACTTGTACAATAATCAAGAAATTTTAATATATATAATATATACTAAAACCCCGTCACCAAAAAGAAAACAATATACACGCAGCCAACTGTGGCATTTTTTTTAATAACCTAGTAAGCAAACTTGGAAAAAAAATGATCGCTCCAACACACATACACACAATTTTTTTTTTACCCTTGTATGTATCCAATACTGTAAACGTATTTTTAAGACAGAGTGCACTAAATTTAACTTTAGAAAAAAATTAGCCGTTGTTCCTGAATTGTTTGTGTTTTGTTTTTCATTCAACGATATCAACGTGTAACTTGTGTCACTTGAGTTTTAATTCAGCAGTAAATCACCTCCACGCCAAATCTAAGCAGCGTTGTCCCACAAACAAAGGGGGTTGAGGATAATTCAGCTAAGGATGTCCACGGTTGTGCTGGGCTTATCTCTTCATTTGATTGGGTCTTAGGGCATTTTCATGTCCTCTATCTTCAACCAGGATTTTTTAAAATTTTATTAAAAGTAAATGTGGCTTTGTTTGTGTCTAAAGAATGTACTTCTCTTGTTTTACTCTTTTAAAAAGTCTTTTTTCATTTCAAAAAAAAAAAAAGTTTTGCATTTGTCTCAAGAGACTCAAATAGGAAGATCAGTTTCCAAGGCACTCACATCAGATTGAATGGCAGTAGAAAAACCGTCCAGTAAGTTATTTTGTTTTGTTCTTTATAGTGCCGGTATTGTGAACGCCAAGCTTAGCAACACTGACACTCAATCTCAGCTGTCCCTTACAGGTTAACCCACCTCTGGGCCAAAGAGAAGAATATGCTGCAATTTCTTGTTCAGAAGCCATTTAATTTAAATGCAAACAAAAGCTTTAAAGTGCGGGTCAACAGAATTCAAATGTCTAATCTTAACAGTCCAATGTTTAGTACCTTCCAACCTAATGGGATAGAAAAAAAAAAAAAACGGGAAGTAGCGCTGGGCACCTTCGGATGGAACTCTTTCCCTGCTTATCCAGGAAAAGGGAACAGAAATTCGCAAGATTCGCCCGCCTGTCCGTACAATGTCATCAGTGTGCATTAAATGAGAGAATACTACCTTCTCTCAGTTCACCTCATCGGGGCACTTGTCTGCTTGAGACATGGTCAATTAATTATCACTGGTAGCAACATGCGACTTGGGATTTCTGTGGCGGGGGCTGATGAAAAGAGAGAGAGAGAGAAGCCGTCAAGCCGGAAGAAGCCTGAAAGAACATGGCTGGTTCCTTCTTTTCTGTGTCACTGCAGGTCACCGCCAGCTACCCAAAAAAAGTACCCTTAGCCCATTTTATTTAGCCTCATCTACAGCAAAGAGCAAAGATGGCATCCCAGGGCACGCAGACACTCCCAGAAAAGGACCGCATCTGCTGGTGATGCACAAGTGTAGGATGCTCTCGGGCCACCTCCCCGGCAGCTCTCAAAAACCCCTATTTCTCTGGCAGTGCTGAGTTTTCCAGGGGAGGAGGGACCTCTGACTCCCCCTCACCACTAAAATGCTTCCTTAGATCATGTAAAGGTTGAAAACACAGGAAAGGCCTCTGTTACTCAGGACATCATCAGTGCTACATCTCAATTCCAATTCTGAAACAAAGTGCTACAACTTTAAAGATTGTTATCCGCTGTACATCCACCCCCCCCCCGCAAAAAAAAACAGCATGCCACTTTTTATTTCAGGACCAAAGAAAAAAAAGAAGGAATTAAAAAAAGTAAACAACTTTAAAAGTCATTTAAGTGTTGGCTTCTTGACAAGAAATTACACATGCTTAGCTTAAATCTCAAAAAAGCAGCGCCCTCCCCCCCAAATTATAATTTAAAAGATAAGCTTCCCTTCTATATCGCTTGGGAGTCATTGCTCAGGCTACTACTGGGTTAAAAAAAAACAAAAACAAAAACAACAACAACAACAAAAAAAGTAAAACGAAGAAGGGATGGATACCCAACAAAATCTCTTAAAAGAATTTAAACAGAAAGAATAATAATAAAAAGTATCTGCACATGCCAAAAAAATTACAAAACCCAATAAATACAGAAATTATTGCACAGTTAAAAGGCTCCACAATATTTTACTGCCTCAATCAACCCTCGGGTTTCCATAGGACTTCGTAGACACAGGTTAGGTTGGAGTGCCGCCTCCCCTGGGCCCCGGGGGGGGGGGGGGGGGGGGGGGGGGGGCCGCGCGGGGGGGGGGGGGACGAAGTGGCGCAGACACGGAGGCGAGTGTCAGGTCAGCATTCTCTCGGTTGGCAATGGGTCCACTGTACAGGTGCGGGGGCGCCGTGGGCCCACGCGCTTAGCTCCTCTCGGCCTGCTCGATTTTGACGTCGTTAGTCAGCAAGTGCTCGCCGTGCCACTTTTTCATGTGTTTCTCCAGGGTGCTGTAGACGCTGAAGGGCATCTGGCAGATGTCGCAGCGGTACACCTCCTTGCCGATCTGCCCGTGCGTCTTCATGTGGCGCGTGAGCTTGCTGCTCTGCGCGCACGCGTAGTTGCACAGCTCGCACTTGTAAGGCCGCTCGCCGGTGTGGCTCCGCCGGTGCACCGTCAGGTTGCTGCAGTTCTTGAACACCTTGCCGCAGTACTCGCACGTGTCGCTGCGGCGGCCCTCCTTGGAGCTCGGCCGCCCGGGGCCCGGGCCGCCCAGGTGCGGCGTGCTGCCCCCGCTGGCCGTGCCGCTGCGGCCCGACAGGCCGCCGTCCAGCAGGTCCCCGGGCGGCGTGGAGAAGCGCAGGCTGCCGTTCTCGGACGAGTGCTCGGACGACGTGGCGAAGGGCGACTGGCGCGCGTCCGTGAAGCCCAGGAAGGGGTCCTTCATGAAGTGGCGCGACGCCGCGTAGCCCACGAGCCACTGCGAGTACACGTTCTCGGACGGGATGAGCGCGGCGGGCGGCAGCTCCAGGTCCTTCTCCACCTTGATGCGCTTGGCGGCGCTGTTGAGCCCGGGGCTGGGCAGCGGCGCCGGCTTGCGCGGGAAGAGGCCCGGGAAGGGCTCGGCGCCCGGCGCGAAGCCGCCGCCGCGCCCGTTGACCGCGCCGCCCGGGCCCGCGTCCCCGCAGCCGCCCGCGTCATCGTCGTCGCCCGTGTCGCCGCCGCCCGGCGCGCGCTTCAGGAAGGCGCCGCGCTTGGGCTTGTCGGCCAGCAGCTCGCCGTACTGCGGCAGCGCGCCCAGCCCCACGTTCTCCATGACCTTGCCCAGCACCAGCGCCTTCTCGTCGGCCAGCGCCTTGGCCGCGCCGCCCACGCCGCCCGCGCCCGCCACCCCGGCCACCCCGCCGCCGCCGCCGTTCTCGCGGTTGCGGCTCAGCTCCGAGTCCATGCTGAAGCTCGACTCGGGCCGGCTCTCATTCTCCAGCAGCAGCTCCTCCTCTTCCTCCTCCTCCTCCTCGTCCTCCTCCTCGGGCTCGTGGCCCAGCGACGGGTCGCTCTCGTGGTGGCGGAAGTCGCCGTCGGCCGCCTTGAGGCCCTCGCCGGCCAGCTCGCTGGTGCCGGGTTCCGGGGAGCTGGCGGCCGAGAGGCCGTCGTCGGAGCGGCCGGCCAGCGAGCCGGCCTTGTGCATGTGCGTCTTCATGTGGCGCTTGAGCTTGCTCGCCTGCGAGCACGCGTGGTCGCACAGCTGGCACTTGTAGGGCTTCTCGCCCGTGTGGCTGCGCCGGTGCACGATCAGATTGCTCTGGAACTTGAACGTCTTGCCGCAGAACTCGCACGACTTGCTCTTGGCGGGCGGCTGCGGCGGCGGCGTGCCGCCGGGGGGCATGGGCGGCAGCGGCGGCGTGCTCAGGAACGGGGACTTGGGGCTGGGCTGGAAGGGGTTCAGGAGCCGGTGCATAGGGTTGCCGCGGCCCGGCGACACGGGCGGCGGCGTGGAGCTGTTGCCCGCCAGCTCGCGGAGCCGCCGCGAGAAGTCCATGGCGGGCGAGTCGATGGCCATGGGGTTGAGGCGCATGACTCGGTCAAAGGCACTGGGGTGCTGGGCGACGAGCCCCATCTCCTCGGCGCTGAGGCGGTGCGGGTCCAGGTGGTGGCGCGGCGGCGGGCTGAAGAGCGGTGGCGTGCCGGGCAGGCGGCCCTCGCCGAAGCCCGGGTGGTCCCGCAGGATGGGGCCCGTCATGCGCAGCAGGTTGAAGGGGTTGCTGTCGCCCAGGAAATTCATGAGCGGGGACTGGGCCACGGCCTCGGGTCCGAGCGGCGGCGGGATGGTGAGCCGCGGCGTGAGCGAGCTGCTGGCCGGCCCGGGCTCCAGGTAGATGCGGAAGCCGTGCGTGTTCTGCGCGTGCTGCAGCAGGAACCACGCGCTGTTGAAGGGCTGCTTGCATGTTGTGCAAATGTAGCTGGAAGGCTCATCTTTACCTGGGGAGACACACGGACAGAAAGGCAGAGAGAGCGTGAGAAGCGGACGGGGCGCGCGCACCGCGGGGGCCACTGACCTGAAGGCGCGGGGGCGGGGGAGGGGGGCATGAAGCGAGTCCTGGATCCGCGCGGCTCCGGAAGGCGGCCCTGTGGGGGCGGGGGGGGGCCTTCGGAGCGGGCCGGGGCCGGCGACGTGTCGGACCCTCTGGCGGGCCAAGACCCCACCCGACTGGAGAGCTGAAGAAGCTGGCTCTGTGGGCAGGTGGCCCCGGCAAAGCCCAGGTGGGCCACACGACCTCAGCAAGCACCCCCAATTCCTAGACCTCTGCTTGCTCCCCTAAATCAAAGTTGCTCTTATCCCCATTGTCTCAGAAGCCAAATGAGGCGGTGTTGTGAGAACGCCTGATGTCAACGATAAAACAGCCGGGTACACCTGCAACCATGACGGACCAAGGTTTGTCAACCAAGGCACTATTGACGTTGGACCAGGAGGATTCTGGGGTGCGGGTGGGGGGGGGTCCTGTGCTTTGTAGAATGTTCAGCAGCATCCCTGGCCTCTACCCAGTACAAGCCAGTAGCACTCCCTCCCCCAGTTAGCAGGATCTCAAATCTCTCCAGGCCCGGCCAAATGTCCCCTGGGGGGCAAAAACAGCAGCTCATGGCTCCCCCTCAGCTTCAGAACCAGTGATTAGGCAGTAGTTGATCCAAGGGGGTTCTAAAAAAACACAAGTCAAACTCAATTGCCTGGCAAACATTTTTTTAAAGAGAAATGGCTGATACCTCTGTATCATTTGGGATTTCAGCTATAGGAAATGCTAGGGTTTCACACACCAGCATACATGCTGAAAGTACTGTCAAATTTACACATGAACATATAGGAGCAGAAGGAATTTAGCATGTTAGGAAGCCCACTGCCCTCCCCATTCCCGCTCTGGCCTCACACACACCTCTACCCACCCCGTGGAATCTGGCCTCCGCAGGCCCCTGGGCCTGGAGGGAGAGGGGGCCACTGATGAGCATGAAGACCTTTGCCGGAATGCTAACTGAATGGGAGAATGTCAAATCTGACGGGGCGGTCGGATGAACGGTGGCAAGTGTGGCTCTGTTACATACTGGCTCTGGTGACATCACGAGCAAATCTTAGTGGACACTTGTGGCACTGAGCCAAAACCGTTAGTCTTCATCCATCATTGAGGCAGTCAGGAAATGGAGGCTGAACATTTCATCCAGAACCTGTCTCGTGGCCGCCCTCCTCAACCTCCCGGGGCAGCCTGCTGCTTTCCCTGTCTGAGTCGCTCCTAATGCTTTCTATAAAGGGGCAGGTGCCGGCAGGCCCTGCGTTCTGCCATGAGATTCGCTCGCGAGCCAGGGAGGGAACAGGGAACAAGACCTCACAGCCCAGATCTTGAAAAACCCCTTTTGTTTTTTCAAACTTTCCTGTACCTGGAAGGTTTTAACGCTGACGAAGTATGGTAGCCACAGACTCCCTGGTGAAGCCAAAGCTGCAAATTAATTTCCAGACCCCAAATCAGAAGGTGACCTGAGAATACAGCAGGGTGCAGAGTGGAGAAGACCCCCCCCATCTCAGCCTCTCCCCAAAAGACCTTCCGAAATCCCGCACAGAGATTTATTTTTTGTTTTCCGCACGCAAGTTATGTTTCCAGGGGGCTTCACACTTAGCTGTAAAAACCAAATGACTGAAGGACCCAATGCCCTATTCTCCACAGGCTTGGCTGGACAGCTTCAGAGGGCAGAGACCTCCCCGCCCCACGCAGGGCCTGAGGTGTCACACAAAGGGACTGGCCCGGCCCGCAGGCAGGGTGGAGATCCTCCCAGACCCCAGAACCAACTGGGCCAGAACACCCACCTCCTCTGGAAACCAAGACAGGCTTTAGGAGTGTGGTGCCCCATAGCGATCCGTTCACTCCCGGCTCCTAGTCTGCGTGTTTGGTGGTAAGGAGACCAGTGGGCAGGGGGGAAGGACAGAGAGGAGAAAAGAATGTGAGGTTCGGCTTCACTCTGCTTTTGCCAGCAGCTCAAGGAGAACTTCTGAGGCAATTTTCTTTCTCCGGTGTACCCAGTCCGTCTGGGCAATTCAGTTCCCCCCGCTGGGAGTCCCCGAGGGGAATTGTCCCCACCTGGAAAACGACAGGGAGGCCTCCCAAGGCCCCGGGCCTTCCCTTCCGGCACACCCCTCAGCTGGCAGAGAAAACACCGTCTCCTGTCCTAGCTGATGAGTTAATGGACTTGGGCGAACAGAGCCCTTTGCCTCAGACTGCCTCACAAGAGAGCTGGCCAGAAACCACAATATTTAGAGTCCTCCTCAAAGCCTCTTCTAGAGCAAGGCAGAATAAATACGTAATAAATAACAAGAGGATAAATAAAATGTCCCTTTCTGACACAGGAGCTAATAACACAAATGAAGTGCCACATCCCACAAGGTCACAGATCTTCAAATTAAAGAGCGGTTCTGTACCCTTCACCTTGGCTTTCGGAAACTCTAATTAACCGATTTATGGTACACAGCTGCTCTGGTTCTTCATTTTTTAAGTGGGACCCCACCCCCTTTTCCCCGATCTCTTTGTTCATCATCTTCATCTCCTTGGGCTTCAACTCCAGAGCATTTCCTGTTTCTTGTTCTGATGGCCACATATTTTCTAGAAAGTTCTACTGCTGGTGAGGAATGCGGGTATCAGAAGAAAATGCAGAATTCCCAGGCAGGCCAGGAATAAAGACTGCTCTTCAGCCGAAATGGCCGATTAAAACATTTTTTTAACTCAAAATGGCAGCTGCTGGGAAGCATGTAGCTACATGTTCTAAAGAGCTCAGATGTTTCCACTTCTTGTTTAAAAAAAAAAAAGAAGAAGGAAAAAATGAAAAAAAAAAAAGACACTTCTAAAACTCTGGAGCAGCCAAGGGAGGAAGTTACCTGTCCGTAATTCACCCTCAGGTGGGGAAGAGCTACCTGTCCATCAAATCGGATCTCAGAGCCACTGCTCATGCCGGGGTGAGCTCTTTCTTTTCCCACGCCCCTGAACTGCTTTGGTTCCCAAACTGCCCTCGCACAATGGCAAGATTCACTGCAGGCGACCGCCTTCCCAGGATCTGACAGCTTCTGACTTTTTTTAAAATCTCGCAGCCCTCAAAGACCCTCCCTAGACAACTCTCTTTCCACTCTCCCCCAGCTTTTTTTCTTTTCCCCTTAATAAAATGTTCATTTCCATATTACCACTTCATGGTTCTCTCTTGCCTAGAAGTAGCCTTGAGCACTAGGGCTGCTCACTTTTAACAAGTGAACAATGTCAGAAGTCTTTGAAGAGCCACTCAGAACATTTTTCTATTCAAAAACTCACTAAATATTTTACACTCGCAGCACACCATTCACAGACAGCTCATTTTTAAATGCAATGGAAGACCCTTGGGGAGAGGGTTGGCCTCCTCCCCATCCCAGGACCGGAGGTCACCCCCTCCTCAAGCTCAGGGCCACCTGCCCAGAGGTAAGCTGGCGGCTCCCCGAGGAGACCACTTAGCCAGCGACCCAGACAGGATCCACTCCCACCACGAGGCCCGCGTGGCTGCTGAGGCGCCACGTGATAGCTGGATGCCTAGAATATTTTGAAGTGACGTACCAGCAACATCAAACCCGGCCTACAGACCTAGAAATGTCAGCTGCGCTTCGATCACGAAATCAGGCTTGGCAGCTCAGAACCCAGGGCCCGTGTCCGTCCTTGCTTGCTTGCTTCCTTCCTCAGATGCTTTTACTCTCAGTTGGCAGAAACCCAGACTGGATCTTCTTTGCTCTACTGGCTCTAAAGGTAGTCCTTATGATTTTCTCAACCTGGAAACCCTCCCTGCCACCTCTAGGTTACGAGGGCCTGGCTGGCCCTACCTCTGCCTTGACATTCCCAGCACGGTGAAGTCATTCAAATCACAACCTCTTTGGGCCTCGATTTCCACATCAGTAGAATGGGAATAAGATACCTGCCTTTAAAGAGGGCTGGGGGTACCCAGTGAGATCCTGCCTGGGGACACACAATGTACGTCGAGCACCACGACGCAGATGTTACGAGCGGGGCTTTGTAGGTTTCGGTGTGTAGTATCCATCCTTGAACCTGGCGGTGCATGTTTAAATCTGGCAGTAATAAAACCCACCAGGAATTTTCATGCAGCCTGCCTCATGCATGAGAGGCTCCAGGGAAGTGAAAACCTGTTCATAGTGAGGAAACATCATTTCTTACAGTGACGCTTGGGGACCGACCGGCAACTGGACCCTCCTGCCAACGGATGAGAGTCTCCCTCCACTATGAGGGGTTGTTGCTTTTTTTTTTTTTAAATGAGCATTTAAATAACTGTTCTTCCTTATTAGGCTAGCTACTCTAATACCAATAAAGGTATCAGGGATGTTCAATGAAAAACACACCTTTAATTGAGTAATTATTCAGTGAAAAGGCCACAGCTGAGCGCGCTAGTTTTACGGGTCTTTCCAAAGGCCAACTGACGCCACGAGGAAGGGTGCTCATGCCTGCAGGAGGGGAGCAGTCCACTGCTGCTCAGAGTGGGCAGCGAGGATGCCCCCGCTGCCCCCCAGCGCACGCAGGGCCACAGGTGAGATCCCGCCCGGGCCGTTCTCCAAAGCTGGGCAAAATTAGAATCCGGACCCTTGGACGCTGACCTAAGAACCGGGTCTTGGCTTCACACAGCCCTCCACAGTTTGCAAAGTGCTCTGCAGCTGGTTTAGCATTTTTGCCAGCATTAGCACCTTTTGTCATTACTCACCCCGCCTCTGAGGAAGGCCAGGCAAGGACTGCATCCCCGCCAGGGCGTGAGGGAATGGAAGCTCAGGGAAGCAAGAGTCCCGCAGCCAGCAGGGAGAGGGCCGTGGCCCTCCTCAGGCTTCCCGACCCCAGGTTCGCTCCCCACCAGCTCTCCAGTGCTCAACACCACCTGAGGGACTGATCCTTCTCGCTACACTCGTCAGGGCCTGTTTCACAATGAAAATG